AGTTCTTCCTGTGAGCAACTCAGAATATCTTAAGAATATGTTGAACTCCCAATTTACTTACATCTCAGTTGTCAAGTCTTACTTCTCCAAGGCTCTGTGAAATGCCCCAAACCTGTGAGGAAGTACTATGACACCTGAGCAGCTGACAATGCAACTTTCATATGCTATCAATAGAAACTGTGTTTTGCTTTTATGTATCTTCCTACCTCTTCTAAAACACAGTGCCCCTTTAGAACACCTGCATGGGTGTGAGGATGTAAAAGAAGAGGAGGACGGCCTTTGCAGCCTTACTTCTGTGACATGATGGGGAGCACATACAGTTTTCATGGGCATGAGCAGGGTACAGTCTTCATAGTGCCCCAAAAAATCTGTTCCTGCTTCTGGGTGGGTCATCAGCAGGATTGGTCTTTAGATCTACAGCACAGGTCTCTTCTTCTTCAGCAAAGGATATAGACAGCATTATCAGGCTTACCTGCTAAAAAAACACCTCAGTCCCAAAGAATAGCAAATGGAAAATATTTGGCTCGATCTTTTTCCAAAATAAAGAATGGTTTCTAGTCACCAAAAGCCCCAAAGATTTCATTCAGGCTATCTGAAACATTTGATTGGGCTATAACTCGGTTTTATCAATGTACAGGTTAGCTGTCTAGTCTGAACTCATTGACTAGGTTCTTTCTATTACTAAAGAGACCACCTTCCATATAGTGATTCATTCTAGCCTAAGGTGGAGTAGCTTAAGACAGAGGCAGTTACCCTCTGCAAATACCTACCTCTATCCTTTGACTGTACAGGGAGCCCTTACACTAGCTGGCCAATTACCAGCTAAAGGTGGGAGAGATGATTCCTACAGCCTACAACATTCAGTTTGAAAGAGTCTGGAATGAATTACCTACTAACAGACCTTGCAAAGTCCTCCTGTGTGCTCCTCCTTGTGCTCAACCGAAGTTGCCACATGCCCATCCCTGTAAGCTTGAGGACAGTCAGCAAAATGCCTGCTGAGGGCTACTGTGGATGAGGACGCTCAGAGAAGTCTACTGCAAAGGACTCAGTAATACGTTTATTGAACTCCTTTTTCAACGCATAACATCTACTTCATCCAATTTCAGCATAAAAAGGCAGGCTGAAGCACACCAGAGGAATGGGAAAGCAACTCCATCGGTATGCACTTCCCCTCCTTGTGCTGTCCTACTTTGCCTGAAATTCTTAAACATGCTTTGACATAGGGACTGAAGTCAGCATTTCTCCTTCCACATGGGAGGCCTAGAATATGAGATAAACTGCAAGGCCATCACTTAATCTTTGCTGTGGTCTTAGTGGCATACAGCTGAGGCCCAGTCATTTCTATTTAACTAATCTGCTTCGTAATTTTATCAATACTTTTGCCAACAGTGAACTGTCTCCAGCTCTCCCTTTCCCTCCACAGGAAAAGAAAAGAGACTTCTTCAAGAAATTAGGAAAATTACATCAGTGCCCTGAGTGTATCCCCACGTCTTGACTTCAGTATCCACATAATATTCTAAATTTAAGGCAACAGTATTACTGTCAGAAAAAGCTAATTCTCTCTTACACTCAGCAGTTGATGGAGTAATAGAAGCACATCATTGGAGTAATAGAAGCACATCATGGTTTGGTTCCCTTGCCTCAATTCTGTCAGTGGTAGTGTTGTGACAGCTTGTAGAAAGCCCCAGCTGAAGTAAATCAGTTTTGTTGCAGAAATTTTTCGTTCTTTTTTGATTCTTCTCTTTGGTACAACCAAGTGGTACCTCCCTGTTTATAGAATTTCAATTGATTAGCATGATGAAGTTTATGTACTCTTTTTTTCCCTTCTTGCTCTTTCTAATTTTATAGATGGAGAACCTAAGCAGCTCTCTAATTTTATAAGGCAAGCAATCTTCACCTGGCAATGTCTCTGACTTTGGGAGCTTTTCTCCCACTGCTTCCTCCGCTTCCATCTCCTAGGCAGTTCTTTGGATTAGTTAATGTTTATAAAGCTTACTAAACCCTTACAGGAAAGATGCTAAGAGTAAAATCATAGAAAGTAAGTCTGAGAAAGCCCTCCAGAGATCATCTAGTCCTTTCCCAATCATTTCTCACAGGCCATGTTTTCTAGACCAATGAACACTTCATTTCTTTCCCCTGGATTTCTTCAGAGTCACAACATCCCTGAAAAAGGGATTTTCAGCTGGCTCTGTCCTTTCTAACAGGCCCTATCCTCTATAATATAATAATAATTTAGCTACAATTCAAAATGTAGTCCCAGGTGCCTAAAATTAAGTGTCCAATATGAGATATTTCTTCTCTTTTGAATCTTTCTTATTTCCTGTATTTTAATCTCAATCAAACTTTCTGAAGTAGCTTCCATTTATTTGCATTACCATTTCGGAAAGAAACCGTCCTGATTTCCAAGGGTGAGAGCAATTGGAGTTCAGGCAGCCTGAAAACAGTCTACTTGTATTCAATCTAAGCACCCAGACTGGAGGCACAAAGAATTAAATTTCTTTCAAAACAATGTGTGCAAAACTGTGCCTTCTTTCCCAAATTAGAAGTGAGTCCTGAGTCATGAGTCACTCATTCCCCATCACAAGGATCCATCAAACCCATTACACCAAACCAAAGACCGCTGCTTACGTCACAGATTATGAAAGTAGCATGTAGGTCTTCCAAGGATGACTTCTTCTGTGATCTTTCCTAGGACTGGTCTGTACAAGAGATAAAATGAAAACAAGAATTTATCCATTCCTGAGAGACTTCAAATTTTAGCAGTTCTACCAATATATGGATGCTTGCAGGTTTGTATACATTTTTTTCTCCCACATTTATTTAGAAAGTACTGTCTGCATAGGCTGCTTGCTATACAACTAGGTGTTTTTCCGCTCCTGCATGGGAGGGATTCAATCCCAAAGTGCCACATTTGCTAAGTTTCCAAAACTTTTGCCATCACTTATAGGTTGGCTCTGCTAGTTTCAGCTGTAACTACTTTTTGCTTGGGCAAACTGATAGAGCAAGCAAAAAGAAGGAGCTTGGTGACTCCAGAAAGTCCCTGAAAAAGGCAGAAGGAAGTCCCAGTGTCACAAGACAGGGAGAGAAGAGGGCAAGGATTACTTCTGGTACGCCCAGACGATTACACCCACCTGTAGCCTCTGAGCAATGGATTCCAAAGGAGTCCCACTCTCGAGAGCCCAGACAAGCCCCTTCTCCAGGCAACCACGCCTCTTTCTCATGGGGCAGCGAAAACGAAGTGCCTTAGGCAGGATTTTTGATCCTGCAAGCCAAGCATTTCTTTACCAGGCATAGTAGTTCACAAAAGATTAAACTTGCAAACAAAACTGCTGGACTAGCAGCCCGTACATTGAGTAGCAAGAGATGTCCCGAGCGGTAAAAAACATAACTTTTCAAATTCAGACAGCAACTCAAAGGGAGATGGTATAGAAAGAAAATTTGGGTTGTGTCTCCCTGTTATCCACTGTGTCCCCGTAGGGAAGGCCCTTTCTGCTCAGGCTTGAAGGTTTTCAGTGGTTTGCAGTCTATATTTACAGCAAAATCTACACAGCCCCTTCCAGATCAACAGGAAATATTTACATTCTTTCAGCCATCAGAGAGACCCCTTTTCCTAATGCCTTGCTTAGGTGCTCCTTCTGAAACAGCTCTACAAGTCTCTTTTATACTCTCTGGAACACATGTGGTCAGATTATGTATCACTGGTTTTGTTGAAACTCCACATAGATTTTCTAGGAAATGACAAAATCCAGCTATAATTGTAGCACAAGCCAGTCTTACAGCTTTTCAGGAATACTGCAAGAAACCACCCAGCAATCTTAGAGAAAATGGTCAACAGCTGCTGCCAAAAAAATGCAAATTTTAAAAATATAGCCTTGCTATAACTTGCTATAAAAATGTAAAAAGACTCCTCAGGGAGCAGATAAGTGGCCATATTATTAATCAGTCTTGGTTTATAATGATCACTTATATAGGCATCAATTATCACTCCAACAGCTGGAGGCTGTTGCAGATGCAGTGCCAATGGCATTGGTGAAGTGAATATTTAAAAAAAATAAATGCATGACACCAGCCTGTACACTCAACTATACTTCCTGCCTTTGAAGCAAAAATATACTTTAACCACTTTCTGTTATTTTAATCTCTTTCTTTCTATTGCTTTCAACCCTGCACTGTCACCACATCAAAAAGGGAATGAGCTGCAGGTTCCAGCTTGTCTCATACAGCAGCCTCTTAGAAGTGTAAGATCATTACAAACGGCTTTGCAAAAATTACAATAGGTGTTCAAGGAGGGGTTCTACACCACACAGTGCAGTGTGGTGTAGACTGCATAAGCTGGTCACATAATTGGAAGAAAGGTAGCTCTACCAGCACAGTGCTCTGCCTGACCTAATTAGCTCTGAAACGTCTGGACCTTGACTTGTCTTTCTTCACAATGCTCACCTAAGGCAAGTGTGATGCTGTCTAACATAACACTGCTTTGCATAGTATCAACATATCCTAATTTTGCTTACAGATTCTTTTTCACTAGTAATGATGAAAGGGAGAACCACGTAGAAATTATGTAGAAGTCAGCCAGTGACAATGAAGATGAAGAATGCCTTGGTGGGGTTGTTTCAACAGTCATTTTGGAGACCTGAATTTAATTTTAAAAGCACACATTCTGTATGCCAGGTATTTCACACCACTTTCTGTTGAGCTGCAGAAGTGTCTAGAGCACCTAGAAATACTTACTGTCCTGAGAACAGGATTTTATTGAATTTAACCACCCAGTCTTAACCCTGTAGAAAGATGCAGTAGTTCAGATACTGACCGCTCCAGTTCCAGCTGGAGCAGAACAAGTAGACGCCCATAAAGTCTTCATCCCTCAGTTCTGACCTCAGCCTGGAAACTGAGCGTTTTCAGAAAGAAGAACCATACCCTTGATTCTTGTAATGTTTTGCAATAGATCACACAGGAAGTGCTGTTTCCTATTTTCAGATATAGGGTTTAACTATGTGTTTGTTCACAAAGAAGAAGAAGAACGCGGTCAGACAAAACAAGCTTGATAAATCAGTGAGTAGCTGATTTTTTTCCTTTTTTACATATAAATGTGTATCGATAGATATAGATTCACTCAGTGGGGAAGTATATGTGCCTAATGACAGTGGCAGTAGAGCTACCATTCAAGCAGAGACACTATCTTTAAGAACAATTGGGTCTTGTAACTAGCTTACAACTCAGGGTAAGGCTAAATGTGAGACTAGAGAATAGAACTGGACAAATGGTGTAGAAAATTATAATTTTTTTGGTACTAGAAACTGACTGGGTCTTGGTTTCAAAGCTATTCCAGGAGGTCAGTAGCTTGAAAATGTATTCTGCTAAGGATATAAACTGATCAGACATTAAATCCTTCACATTCAATCTAACCTCTCCAAATCTAAGCCACATCTTGCTCTATCAGATGCAGATGGCAGATGTTCTTCATCCCTATCCTATCACATAGTTTCTTTGTATTATTCAAGCATTTAATCTGTGAAAGGTATTGTTTCATTATCATGTTATGAAGGGATATGTTCTTTGGGATTGGTTCCTCTTTTTAATGTGATGTTTCTGAGCCACCACATTAGAAAGCCTGTATTCCATATCTCATATATATCAGTCATGATCTGGCTTGCAAGTTTTGTTAATGAGGTTTTATATGAAAAAAATTCATCACTACTACACTGGAATTGTACCATTCTCACACACAAGGAGAGGTGAGCTCCTCTGCTTGGATAAATGACGCTTGCCACTTGGGTATTAGCAAAAAAGCTACAGTAGCCTAAGAATATATTTTTTGGGGGGTAGTATATCAAATATGCAGCTATAGCAACATTTGCTTTCATGGGAGAATTGTACTGTCATTTGCCAGAACAGTTGACAGTGCCAGAGCAGTGGGCTTGAACTTCTCTATGTGGAGACCCTTATAGCAATAACATGACAAGGGCATGATCCTATGACATATGTTGGCAATCTCTGCTCCAGACTATTATCCTTCTTTTTTATACTCAAGTTCATCCCCAGAATCATTGTGACTACAACTGTTGTTTGAATTACTCTGAATTCAATATTTTATCTGAAGCAGTTTAAGCAGAGACACTGAAAAAAAACCTGAACAGAGATACTAGCACAGGATTAACCTACACAAGAGAAGAGCCCTCTTACACATGTAGTCATGATTTGGAGGAAGACATTTAATCAATGTCTCAAGTTTATCATAGTGCTTATTTTCAGTGCTTATTGTACTCTTTTACTGTACATTTGTTTAGGTACACCTCCTACTTGTTTTGTCTTGAGACCACATAGACTGACTCTATTTAAGTGCAGAAAAGCTCAGAATTTTTGCAAGACTGTCTTTCTGGTTTTGTTGGGGAATGAAAACAATTGGATCTTGAGGGTTCACAGAGAATTAAGCCTGTTTTTTCCAGCCGAGAACATATTTTTCCTTGAAAGCGCTGCAGGGATGAAAAACCCTCATCAGTTAGGCAAGCCATTCTGAAGAGATGTTATAAAAGAGGAAGAGGTTTCCAAAGCGAGGTTTAATTTTGGAAGGGACTGTCTTTTCCCAATCATACCCTGGAAAGAAATCCTGTGGTCACTACCACATGAAAAGATGCGCCTGAGGGAAACTATCAGCTCAGAGTCTTACATACAGCATTTAGATTACATCTCCATCTTTTTCTTCAGCTTTCTTGGTAACTCAAGAAAAGTATGTACTTTTACGCTTGCTCCCCAAGATGTCTTTGGTGTCTGTGCACAGTCTTCTCTGTAGTTTTGCCTGTCCACAGACTCCTTCTGGAAAGTCAAAGGCAAAGTTAGAGATAGAGCTGTTAGCAGGAAACATTGGGCACCTCTCTTGCAACACCTGCTATCACGATATGGGGTATTATTTTTCTTCATTTAAGTTTCAGTTTTACTCTGTGCTACATTGTACTTCTCTCTCTTCATAAAGTCCCCTAGATGCTGCTGACACATACTTTTAAGCTGACTATAAGTCATTAAGCAATTTCTTCTTCTGTATGACAAACACTGCTATTTGTTAAAAGGAGGAGAGCGAGGGCAGGGGGAGTAGTGCTGTGTTACCTGTTCACACATTTCAAAAGAGAAACCTTGTCTTAGACCGTAAAAAGGGAAAGGAAACTTTGGGGGTCATTCAGTTTTGAGATAAGCGGCTCCATTAATGCATGGATGCTCTTCTAACTTGTAGTTATCAAATGTTCTGATTTCCATGAGGAAACTTTGTCCAAATTAGGGCACAGCAGACTCATTGAGCTGTGAAAACTGCCATCCCTGAATAAGTCAGCGTAGCAACTCAGGAGCCTCTTTACTTGAATTACTCTAAATGGAAACGTCTGATAGTCATACCAGTACCTAGACACTTCTATAGCTAAAGGTGACACACTATAGATAACAGCTAATACTCAAGAGCTAGCAAGGCTTCTCTCAAAGCAGCTGAAATACAGAAATATGAAAAGATTTCAGAGCTACATCCTCATTATAAGAATCTCTGATGTTGCAGTAAGTGCAGCTTTGTTAAAACTTAAAAGAAATGAAATTACATTTATTTTGGCTCACAAGTTTACAATTATTAAGAAAATAAAATTTTCTCCCATCCAAGCTGTAAACCCATTTTCTCTGCAAGAAAAAAAAAATTTCCCAGGGTGTAGGTATTTGGCCCGAGGCTTGGTCACACTTCACTGTACCCAACTTCTAGAAGACTCAGAACATAACCAGTCCTCCGAGGGGAAACAAGTAGCCTCTTATTGGACTGCTCATATATTTAGACGCTTTTGCATGATAAGCACACAGGATAAATTAGAAGGGAAGGAGGGCACCAAAGTGAAAATTCTCCTTCTCTTATATTTCTACCTTAGGTTTGACTCCGTTGCCCACTTTTGCAGAAATTATCCAGAATTTCTGCTAGCAACCAAAACTACCCTGTGCATGCAGAAACTGTGGGTGTGTGGGCAGGACAGTGGGCACTGATGGCCGCATGCAGTCCATAAAGTAAACAAGAAAGTCCTGCAAATGAAAATCATTAAGGCTTCCTGAATATTCATTTGTAATTTTGGAAGGAAAATAAGAAGGAAATAAGCCAAATAATCACAAGTTCCCCAATCAGAATCTCTCAGAAGACCCCGTTTATACTTACAGCACAAGAGCAGAGATAAACCTGGTGATTCCTTTCCTAACACACCCATTCTGAAGGTTCATGCCTAGATCATTTTAGAGCCAAAACCAGACTTCTTGTCAAGGACTACAGCTTCTGCAGAAGATGTTCCTTTCTGCATGAAAATGAAAATTGGAAAAATGGTTAAAGATAAATGAAAAAAAAAAATCAAATGCAAACAGTAGTTTCCAATAGCATTTGTTAGCCAGATCAGTTTTCTAGAGCTTTTTGTGATTAACATTGCTTGTGGGCAAAGGATAAGGAATTTCTTAGAAAACATTTCAGAAAATATTTTTAACATTTTATGCTTGTTGTGAAGAGGAGGATCTGACTTCTATCCCATGCAAATGCTCAGAGATTTCCCATCAGATCATAGACTGCAAACCACAGAACATGCTGTCTTTCTAGGCAGCATCAATGTGAATTGTGCAGGGCAGGAGCTCAGTTTTGGTAGTCAGAAGGTGTGCTGGGTCTGGCTGGGACAGGCTTAATTTTCTTCACAGCAGCCCTTATGGTGTTGTCTTTTAGATTTGTGCCCACAGCTGGGACAGGTGATCCAAACTGACCAAAAGGATATTCTGTGCCATATAACGTCATGCTCAGCAATAAAACTGGGGCGGAGGAAAGCTTTTCCAAAGTAGGCATTGCTCAGAGACTGGCTGGCCATCCATCAGCTTGGTGAGAGGTAGCAAGCAAGTTTGTCCTTTAATCATCCCTTATGTTTTTTTCTGCTTCCTTCACTTATTCAACTGTCTTTATTTCAACCCACAAGTTTATCTTGCTTTTGCCCTTCTGATTCTCTCCCCTACTCCTCTGTGGAGGGAGGGAGGGAAGGAGGGACTAGATGGGGGCTTAGCTGCCGGCTGAAGTCAACCCATCACAGGAGGTAAGACTTGGGCAGCAAAGGAGACAAATCTGTAGGGAATCAATTATGTTTAGTTCTGTTACTCCCACGATTATTTTCTGTTGTTCTTAAATCTCAAAATAAGTCCCAAACTAGATAAAAAAAAATATTACTTTCTTTGTATATATACAAAGATTCAACAATGCTAAGTGCACCAGGGGAGGTTTAGATTGGATATCAGGAAAAATTTCTTCACCAAAAGGGTTCTCAAGCATTGGAACAGGCTGCCCAGGGAAGTGGTTGAGTCACCATCCCTGGAGGTATTGAAAAGACCTGTAGATGTGGTGCTTAGGGACATGGTGTAGTGGTGGACCTGGCAGTATTAGGTTGACGGTTGGACTTGACGACCTTAAGCGTCTTTTCCAACCTAAATGATTCTACGATTCTACAATTCTACGATTCTATATATGTATGAGTGTCTATGTATATGTAGATATAAGAACGCATACTTGTGCATATACACACACAAAAAAATTGTTTTAACACTGTGTAATCAATAAAATTTGCTCATAAAGATTATTTGTATTATATATATATCCACTGAGATAAAGACCCAGATTAAAACTAAGTTCTCTGGATCCTGAATAGTCTGTAATTATGTATCAGGAAATAATCCCTTCCTCAAACAGCAGAATAGGCTGACATGAGCTTAAGACGCTTCAGAAATTTCACATGCTACAGATCAGAGTGGCCCACCATGTAATTAAATTGAGCTTCTACCAAAAAGCAGACCAGGGGCCTGCCTCTGTGTCACTCCAGGCACGGGCTGAGTTTCTTCAGTTGCATTTAGTCTTGCAGAACTCAAGTGCAGAGAGAATGAAGTGGTGGTTTTGAGAATGTCATCTCTGCAAAAGACATCTGCAATCGCATGGGGTAGACCTTGCCATTGAAAAAAGTGCATGGTGGGGCTGCAAGCGGGAAAGGAACAAACATTGCTGCATTACATGAGTGGTCAGAGATCACAGAACAAGTTGGGGCAGATGCACTACACAGTATCTTCTGTGTCGGGAGCAGTCCGATGCCTTTGTCAAGAGAACAGGCATCAACTTGCCAGGAAAATGCAGATTTCAAAACCATCAACCTGCTATGAACAGCCACCAATCTGCCGTGAAGTGCCTGACAAAAGCAGTCATGATGACACAGGAAGAAAAAGCAGCCCTTTTACCAGACAGCAAATAGCTCTATTTACGCGGCTACCAAACCCATGGATTTCACTTCCCCACTAAGTGACCAGGAGGCACATTTGGTCCCTCTGACACCCGTCTTCACAAAATCCTCTTCCCGGCTTCTCACGGGACATGCAGGAATTCTTCCATTGTCTCCGGGGGTGTGTGAGAAGACAGATCTCAACTTTTCAGAGACCAAATTACACAAAGCTATGCTTCTGCATCTGGCTCACAGTCCTACCAGGGACTTGGGAAAGGGGGAGGGTCTGGTGGCAGGAGGGGCTGACCTCAAAGTCACAAGCCTTTACCGGCTCCCACTGTAACAGAACTTGCCTGAGGGCTTTCACAGCTCTGCTGCACAGCTTACCTCCCAGGCTGTGACTCCTTCTTGCACGGGAAGCCCAGTCCCCCGCAACAGTCCCCAGACCAAAACTGGAGGGACAGGGAGTTTGGGCAACCCTTGCGCTTCCTCAATTGCTATGTCACCTCACAGGAAACAGTGACTAACAAAAGATGAAGGACGATATCAAAACAACCGCTGCCCATGAAGAACTGTTAGTGCACACTCACAGCGATGGCCATGTCTGCCTTTCACCCTTGTGCCCCCTCCGAGACACTTAGCCAATCTAAACTTTGGAGCTCCTGAATCACAGCTGTTAAACAGCTACTGAAACAAGGAGTCAAAACTTCTTTCATCCCCGCGGATGCACTGGGGAGGTCTTTCAACTGACAGGAAGATGCCACAACAGATATAGGTGTTATAGGCCACGCTGATAGCAGCTGTCACCTTCTATGCCATTTGCCAAGGTGTTTGCCTATCTGTTCTTTCTACAGGACTGCGCACCGTTTTCATTCCAGAGCTACCTAAGACCAGCACGCTTCCATGGCCTACGCCTGACCCAGACTCTGTAAAGGACACAACATTTGCCATTTTAACCAGACCAACGCTGCCGACTTGCTGCTCTGCAACACCCAGGACAGCACGTCCACCAGGTGGGTATGTTTAGTACTGCGCAAAGGTCATTTCCACACCTCCAGTGACCCGATTCCCACAGGCATTAAGGCTCCCAGGAAGTCATGAACAACCCGAACAAGCGGCAGTCAGTTTGTTTTGCCCAGGTCACAGCGCCTTTGCAGGCACCGGCTTACACCTTGCCAGTGCCTGGTCCTCCTTGGGTGCGGGCTACAGTACGGGCTGGCACAATGAGAAGGTAGCCAGGTCCCAAGGAGAAGCACGGCTATGCTCTGCGTGGCAGCTGCTGTGCTTTCCTGCTGCTGCCTCGCTGGCTCGCTCCATCCCTTTGGAAAGCCGCTGCTGAGCACAACAGCCCTGAACTACCCACTGCTCAGGCTGAACTCATCATTCCTCTGCTTCTGGTTGCGTCAGGCAGCTGACAGGCTAGACTGAGGAGGAAAAACGCACCAGGCAGCGTACACGTAGGAAATGACACCCAGCACACTTCCAACATGCAGCAACGTGACTTCACAGCTATATAGATTGGTTTCCCGGGAGCTCTGCAATTTCGTTCTCTTCCACACATTGACGCAGTAATGCTTATGTGCTCAACAGCAAAAAGCATTCCAGATGAGGACATCGGCGTGTTTCATTCCCCTCACTGCCAAGCTCGGAGTTTCCTCTAGTTTAACGTCCTTTTCTTCCTTTCCAGACCAACACACCATGGAAAACCATACCACGGACTCAGCCGACTGGCCACTGACAACAGAATTTGACTACAGCGATTCAACACCATGCCCAGGAACTGAGGAAAAGCACTTTGCAGCAAAACTTCTGCCACCGCTTTATTCTTTGGTGGTGATATTTGGCCTCACGGGCAACATGCTTGTTGTCCTTATCCTGGTAAAATACAAGAGATTGAAGAGTATGACTGACATCTACCTGCTCAATTTGGCAATTTCTGATTTGTTGTTTGTATTTTCTCTCCCTTTTTGGGCTTATTACGCTGTTCACGACTGGATTTTTGGGGAAGCGCTGTGTAGAATTCTCTCAGGTGTCTACCTGCTTGGCTTCTACAGCGGGATCTTTTTCATAATCCTGTTGACCCTAGACAGGTATCTGGCCATAGTGCATGCAGTGTTTGCCTTAAAAGCTAGGACAGTTACCTACGGCATCCTCACCAGCGCTGTCACTTGGGCTGTTGCTATTTTTGCTTCTGTTCCTGGGATAGTATTTCACAAAACTCAAAAGGAAAATTCACGTTATACTTGCAGTGCTCATTATCCAAGTGATGCCACAATATATTGGAAGTACTCCTATGCTTTAAAGATGAACATTCTGGGACTTATTGTTCCAATGCTCATTATGATTTTCAGTTACTCACAAATTCTAAGAACATTATTGAGGTGCAAGAATGAGAAAAAACAGAAGGCAGTCAGACTTATTTTTGTGATCATGATTTTTTACTTCATCTTCTGGACACCATTCCATATTTCTTCTTTTTTGCATACATTTCAAAGTTCACTTTTCAACCCAAATTGTGAAATCAAAGGTCAACTGGAGAAAGCAATCCAAGTGACAGAAACAGTATCAATGATCCACTGTTGTATCAATCCTGTGATCTATGCATTTGTTGGAGAAAAATTTAGGAAATATCTTTATGCCTTTTTCCGAAAACATGTTGCAGCCCACCTCTGCAAAAAATGTCCAAATCTTTATCGTGAGAAATTAGAAAGAGTTAGTTCCACATTCACACCATCCACTGCAGAGCATGACATCTCTACTGGACTGTAAAAATACATCAAAACATTAGTTAGTAAATGTTGCATCACTCACTTTGCCTTAAGGACTGCCTGACATTATTTAAGATCTTTATGTCAACCACTACTGAAAACTGTATGATCCTCAATTCTTGTTGTTAACTGTTCCCTGGGGTTACAGGATTTTCCATTCTTAAACTAAGAGAATCAGTGAGTTCTCCAGGAAACGTTCACACCATAGCTGGATCACATCAAGATTTGAATGGGGCCCAGAATAGTATGATTCTGTTTCTTGACCCAAAATCTATCCAATGAACAAATGCTAGTGAGATGTACCTGGGGGGAATACAATATTGAAGAGATTAAGGAGTAATATGTAATCTCACAAGAGCCATTTCCTGTTATGTGAACATTTTAAGATAAACACTGGGAGGAAGCTTTGAGGATTGATGTACCTGTTTAGTATTCAACATTAATGGAACACCTTTTGGAAGTGACTGTATTCTTTCTATAACATGGTCAGGCATTTGATAGAGGGAGGCTTTTAGTTTTCTTCACTTTTTCCCCCTACCCCTTATTTTCCAAAAAGATGTTTCATAAAAAAGGAATTTGAGGATGAATATGAGATATATCAAGATAATATCTCTCCTCTGATGGGAGGCTTGACTGACCTTTATCTTACTGGGGCCATTTAACCCAAGGATTTATCTGTTAGCTAATAGTGTAGTCATTTTAAAATATAATCCTTTTGACTATAGGCTAAGTTATAGTATTTTGATTTTAGTTCTTTAATTTTATGCCTGCCATATCACTGTTCCGTTGCTAACATTTTCCAAAGTGGGATTTTAACGGGCAACACTGTGATTTTTGTGGGTGAAATTTTGCAAGTAACTCCGCACACCGAGTCTACTGACTGAATAACAAGACAACGTTGCACCCCAAAAAAAACATGAGCTTGTTTCTGACAAATCACATCCCTCCAAGGAAAACAGCACTTAACCAATATAAGCACATCAGCAAAGATCTGCAAGGCCAAAATGAAAATTACCTTGGTATTCGGTATGCCAGATTCTGTAAGAAAAAAATATCCAGACCCCCTGAAGGATTTTGGAGACCATAAGCACAGTGCTGAGTAGAGGCCTCCCTAGTTCTGGACAGGTAAATTATGTGTGTAAAGGAAGACTTTACATGGCAGATGCAGTAAGTGTGTTAGGCTAGGCTCCCTCATGAGAAAAACATGCTCTTCACATACACGGTAAGTCTGATGTTTGGGATACACTTCTAGGCAGACAGTAGCCTTGAACTGCAAAAGCAGCCAACTGCAGAGGACACATATCCACTTTGCCTTCCCAAAAGAGTGTCCATAGACAACTGGTGCCTCAATTAGAACTGCATGCTAATTGAAGACTCGAGACCATTAGTCAACTGGTGTCCTATGGCCATACATTTATGCCATTATTAGGAGTTTCCCTGTGAAAGAAAGTGGTATTCTAGGGACATGATGTTAGCAAAGAAGAGGCAGGAGGGGCACAGTGGAGAACTTCTTGCTTCAAACTGTAAGGAAGTGCAGGTTAGCACTCCTTATGCAAGTGAATGGTCATTCTGCTTTTTTTCCCATTTACTTCAAAGGGCACCGCTCAGGCATGTAAAACCTTGCTCCTGGAAATCTGGAGGGGCAGGTTCAACTAGCCTCCGGGCAAGGTAAGGACACAAGAGAGGATTCCACACTACTTAACATTAGCCACGTGACTCAGATGCCTACATTAACAGCAAATCTCTTCAAGGTCCCTCAGTAGTCAGCAGAGAAAAAGAGATGCCCGAGTCAGAAGCAGACATATGATTTAAGCAGCCTCTGGGGGAGACTATCTGTCCAACTATAGAAGGAGCCTGGAAATGCCAGCCTCTTGATTTAGTTATCAGATGCCTTAATCTAGGTGGTGCAAATACTCTTCCCCCTGTAGCCTTATAACATCAAGGCACTGCTTCTATTAGTTGTTAGCTTTTATCCTATCAGCTATTATAATCTGGCCACTAACTTGTGAGGTTATAGCCACAGAAAAAAAGAAAAGACCAAAAACTATCCTCACAGTAAACTTTCTTGCTTGGAAATAATATTTTTCCTTTCTTTTGTACTTTTTTACTGCACTAAAGTGAAAGCACCTTTTTAATATTAAAACCTAAATTAGTTCAGTGTGATACAAATCCTGCTGTAACTGTGATATTTCTACTGCTGTGTTTTATTTTAAATTCTTTTATTGTTGGAATTATATTTCTCCCTGTTTTCATGTTAATGCAGTGAAATTAATAAAATCTGTGTCTGAAAAACAATGTATACCCTGTAGCCCATGTTCTCTTCCTAAGCAAAAGGTCATCAGCTCTGCTGTCAGAATGGAGGTTGCAAAAAGATGCAACTATGGACTTAAACACTCGCAATACTACACTCCAGTGAAGCAAACCAAACTGAACAAGCAGAGAACTATCTGCCCAGTCCAGAAGCTACTGTAGCTGGCAAGGCTTTTATCTACCCGCAAGCTTGAGAAGAGTGCATTATAATAGCTTCAGGAAAAGTCTAGGGCCACAGATTTTAGATGGGTGAAATTTGACAGGTAGGAGAAACAGGAATGTGCATAGGGGAAGAGGAGGAATAAAGGAGAGCAATAAAAGATGGCACTCTATTAATATTGGGATAAAGACAGGATTCTCCATAGACTTTCTGCAGCTAATTTCAGATCTCCTTGCACTGCATAGAGTGACCCCAGCAAAGCGGTGTGCCTGGTCTCCCAAGTTTTACGTGTAAGGAACTTTAGGCATTCAAAGTTCAATATGGAAATATGCTTCTGCTTCACCATGTCATTCACCCTGTCCCACTGTCCCAATTCCTTTTTTCAGCCTACGATCCACACCTCCTCCTCTCCCCTGCACACTCTTTTCATCTGTCCACAATGGGATAAGCTAAATTCTATACCCGCTGCCTTTGTTTTCTGATTTGCATTTTCTATTTTGTGCTGGCAGGAAAACAAATAAACTAAACCTAAAGATTAGCTTATTGTTATGTTATGTGCCTAGGCAGGATAATCCTTGATCCTTTGCACTGAGACAAGCAAGGCTCTAGATAGTTTTGTGGCAGATGTTGAGTCTTAATCAGTCAGATGTGGCTGCAGCATGGTGTAGCTACAGGCCAGGTAGTTCCAAATTAGACTAGCAGGACTTCAAGCAGTCTGGTCACAGTGGGATGGAGCTACCCATGGGGAAGGTTTAGGAAGATCCCCAGTCCCTATGAAAGAGAACACAAGCCACCTCGGCAGAGAAGTGGGGGAAATTTTACATACGGGAGACAAATATTCCATAACTCAAGCTCTGCTGGAAAAGCACTGAGATGAAGATGCAGTGTGTATATAAGAGCTAGAGAAGCAGGCAGATACACAGAAACTATGCGGTGAATAAAAGGTATGTTAAGAAAATGGCAAGGCACACCAGAATAGTAATTACAGCAGAGAAGAAGCTAACACAAGAAGAACCACTACAGTGCTTGGGAGGCATCTGAGCTGCTCTGGTGAAATACTGAGGAAACGAAAGCAAACATTTGAGACAGTGTACAAGTAGCACCAGAACACCAAAAAGATTCAAGACAGGAGCTCTGTGAACACTACAAGTAAATTGTTGCTTTACAACAAATGTTGAACAGCTAAGTGGAAACCATTACAAGTTCAAAATTCTGGGCACTGAATTTCTGAAGAGATAATGCGTTGACTGGGCTTTCAGCATGCTTATGAAAAGAATGCCCAGGTGCCATGGACAAATATCTACACATAGCCCCAAAACCAATCAATCGGTTTAGTTTACGCACAGGACAGGAAGGAGTCCGACCTTCCTGTTAGGAGATGCTACTGCCACATGTTCAGAAGCATGCGGGGAGGAATGCCCCATACAGCAAAAGATAACTCTGCCGACTGTCAGGCAGACTTCCTAGGGGGCAAAAGGACATGTAGCAAAAGTGCATATATGGTATTGGTGAGTGCTGAGCAGTACTTACAACCAATCACCAAATTTATAATCACTGCCATTGGTTTGTCTGTGGTAAGTATATCATGGACAAACATAGAAATAGTGAAACTTCTGGTAACCGGTGCATAGGGATGTTCCTGTCATAAGACTTTCTTGTTTGTTAACCCAACTGTGACCTTATGTGTACATATTTTAGATAAGATAAAGGTAAATGGAGTATAAAGGAAGAATAGATTAAAACGGATAAATAGGAAAAAGCAGTGGCAAAAAATGAGAGAATTACTTTATCAGCTTTAACAGAGGCTAATCAAGTAATAGCCAAAGTAATGGGAAGATCAGAGATAAATACTTTAAGCAGAACGTTAAAAGATTTAGGCAAGTAAGAGAGACTTTCAGTTATGAAGCTCCAAAATAAGTATGACTCCTTCCAGTGAAAACTTACAAAAGGGATAAATACAAAGAACATAAGGACAAATTTACATGGTATATTGTTCCAGTTAACAAAAACCAAAGAAATGAAGTGCCAGGAGAATGACATGATGCTGACCAGGTTAAATGGCACAACGGGCAGATACTGCTCATTTTGAAGTTTAGTTGTGCTGCTGTTTTCAACCGCTGATGCCTACTGACCTTCTCTAGTGGTTACTGTGGTTACTGTGGCCTTAGAAGCATTACACCTTAGTACAGTAATAAAAAAAATTAAGCTAGCAGAGGAAACAAAACCAAACCAGTAAATTCTGGTGCATTTAGAATATCAATAGCAATCAGGCCAAAACAAAGAAGCATGTTTGTCTAGAAACAAGGGGTGAAGGCATTGCTTTGTACCCATATTCTGGTGACACTTGCCTATTAGGAGTTGTACTTCATTCAGAAAATGGAATGGTATGGAAAAGAAATGTTTTATAAGTTTGTACAACTGCCACGCAGTTTTGTAATTCCTGTGACAGTGAGAGCAATCTTGGTCTGAGTGTTTTAAGTCTGAAATGACTGATCCTGGGAAGGTGGGGCCACAACACTGAACTGGAGGAGGGCAGCATTATCAGATACAGAGGCCAAAATGCAAAACTGCAGAAACCTTCAAGTGACGACCAACTTTGCAGAA